ATGGGGGTAAGGGGAGAGTACCACGTGACAAGGACGATGAACGATGGGGGTCAGGAGAGAGTACCACATGACAAGTAACATGAAGGATGTGGGTCAGGGGAGAGTACCACACTACAAGAGTTATAAACAATATATATTTTTCAGGCACATCGTACTTTGTGGGTACATAACACACGATACTGTAGAGAATTTTCTCAGGGATTTTCTGCACAAGGATAGAGCAGATGTGGTCGTCAACGTTGTGATTCTTGGAAAGTATGTTAATCTCTGGTTTACTTGTCCTAAGCATTTTTTCAAGAAAGCATGATTACTCAAACATGGCTTTGTTTTAATACGTTCCCTTACCGTGTTCGTCTTCTTTMAATTTATCCTCGTAGTCATCTACCAGATCCAGACCTTGAGAGAACCATCAAGAAACACTATGTTCATGTATCATATTATGTGGGTACAGTATTATCAGCAGACGATTGTAAACGAGTCAAGGTACAGCACCTTATATCGTTATTTTGTACGTTATTATCTATTTCGATGTCTTAATGGTGGCATAAGGAGAGGAGCCAAAAGCCCCGTCCTAAAATTCAGGTCCTTATAAATATTTCTTAGAAGAAAAGTCGAACATTTTGAGAAAAATCAGATGATGAGTTCCTTGAGGATTTGGCATGAAAATTTTGGCTGGAACTCGATCTTGCTACAATGTTATGTTTCATAAGACGTGAGATATATATGCACGCTCTGATTGGACAAGAAGCCATTTTGTATGGATTTTTGCATTTTCTCCCTTTCAAATAAAAAGTATATAAATACTGGTGTAGTGAGTCTGCTTATACATACTGACCATATTAAATGATGTTTGTAGATGTCTAAAGCAGATGCCTGTCTAGTTTTGTGCAACAAGAACTGCTCTGTTCCTGACAATGAAGATGAAGAAAACATCATGAGGTAATCAAACAAGCCTGTTTTAATTGAGATAACAAAACCAATCATGTGTTCGCTGAGTTCTCTGAAGTTTAAAAAAAAAGGAATTAAATTTTTATTAATTGAATTCTAAACCCACCTTTGAGCTGATCTAAATAAGCACACAGCTAACTTACAGATCAAACCCTGAAACAACGTCTGGGCTGATCTAAGTCAGGGCATGACTAACTCACAGATCAAACCCTGAAACAACCTCTGGGCTGATCTAAGTCAGGTCATGGCTAACTCACAGATCAAACCCTGAAACAACCTCTGGGCTGATCTAAGTCAGGGCATGGCTAACTCACACATCAAACCCAGAATCAACCTCTGGGCTGTCAAAGTCAGGGCACAGCACGACTAACTCACATGTACATGGTTGTGTAATTAGACCAGTTAGTGATAAGCGAACCAATAATGTTCAATAAAGCCTATGTGGAATTCTTTGCACAGGGTTGTTGGTATCAAGAACTTCTTTCCAAAGATGCGGGTCATTATTCAGTTGCTGCAATACCACAACAAGGTTGGTAATAACTATATATATGCATATATAAATATATTATACTAATTGATTAAATATCTCCTGTTTAGAGGTATGTAAAATTAAATGCTTAGTAATTCGTATAAATGTTACCAAACAGGCCTACCTGCTGAACATTCCATCGTGGGACTCCAAGATAGGAGATGATGTCGTATGTGTTGGTGAGGTAAGGCTTCAGCGATATTCTGCATCTCAAAAGATTGCCATTTAAATGAAATGCTTTTTCAAATTCACATCAAAATATTTGATATTTTGTTTTGCAGCTTAAACTTGGTTTCATTGCCCAAAGTTGCTTGTCGCCCGGTTTCTCCACCTTGCTGGCGAATATCTTCTCAATGAGATCCAATGACTTGGTAAGAGACTGCATCAAGACTGCATAGACCTATCCTGAGATAGTGAACATGGTGCTATTGTAGTCTAGCTTCAGTACAAACATCTTTTGTCCATCAAGCCGTATGTGGTGTATGTGGTAGACCACAATGCATCCTGTTTATCGAACTCAGAAAAGGCCTATGCCACCATGCTGTATCATGTTTAATAGTTGATAGTATATTTGTAACGTAATATAATAATGTAGTGTTGTTGTTGCTAAACTAGAAAGGTGATGATACGACGAGTGATGATGACTGGAGGAAGTGGTACGTGCGAGGAACAAACTGTGAGCTATACACAGAGAAGCTAGCGCCTTCTTTTAAGAGCTTGGCGTTCAAGCAAGCAGCCGAGTAAGTAATAACACCACAATCAAAACCGACATTCAAAAATGACCAATAACGACGACTACCGCAGAATAACAGACACACTTAAACCAGCAATGAATGCGATACTGAAATCCGTCAAGTCACGATAAAAATAAATTAATCAATTAATTAAATAAAATATTTCATCTTACATTATGTTATTAAATTCTCCCATCGATCAGAAATGAAGAACAAATGATAAATATTGATAAAGTCTTATACACGTTATGCTTCACAGAATTTGTTTCGAGAAATTAAACCTCCTGCTGATCGCAATTGAAGTAACAAAGGTGGACGGGGAAAAAACGTAAGTACATGAACACCATCTATAGTACGATTAGGATCACAATGTACCTTATATTATAATTATACCAAACATGTTTAGCTTGTCGGTTGTCAAACGTTATTTTGCATGTTCTGGACATTAGGAACAAGCCGTGCCAGTTTTATTTAACGAATATAATACCGTTATAACTATATATAAAGATTTATTTGTCTTTTTTTCGTTTCAGTTTTGCGATTAATCCTAAAGACAAGACATTGATCATTCAAGGCAACACCTTGGGTTTCTTTCTTGCAGGATCTGCACAAGAAGTCAGAAGGTATTAAATGATCTTATATTTTTCAGTATTCTTGTACTCTTGAATACATGCAAGCACTTGAGGAAAGGTTCATTACCTGTTCATGGACCCCATCCAGTTCATTGATGCTTTGAAAATCCGGAAATAGCATCTTCAAGAACACCAAAATAGAATCCTTCTAGAAACTCGTACCAACATCACGTTCAGTATTCGTTGCTAGGGTGAACCCTCCCTCCTTCCTCCTACGAGTATATTCATGATACAGGAGTGTATGCATGGTTATTGTATTACAGGGCCTTCTATTACTGTACGATGTGTCATACCGATATCACCGATCCTGAACTCATCAAAGAATGTGATTGTTTAAAACGTAAGTATTGTAGTATGTTTCTTTTCACCATCCATTTCATACGTGATTTTGTTTGTTCACTTTTATTTCGTTTGTTCCATTTATGTCATACATATTGCATTCGCTTACCTGTGTTGTTTTTCTTGTTTAAAATAAATTAAGCCTATGTTATGCTGATGTCTTCTGTTTTGGCGTGTTCTTTCATGTTTTTCTCACGATATCTTAAAGCATTCAGCCAATGATCTACTAAATGTAGGCATTTGTAAGCTGTGAGACTCAATAAGATGAAGGCTATGAAAGTGTCTCATGGATGTTAAGTCTAATAAGTGGTCAAGAGCAGAACCCAGAAACCTAATGCTGAGGATGACTTTACAAAACTGTATGCATCGCCTCAAAGGAATTGTACTCTCTCTACCCCTCTGCATCTTTATTGGTACAGGCCTATTTGTACTCTCTTTACCCCTCTGTGGGTACAGGCCTATTTGTACTTTCTCTACCCCTCTGTGGGTACAGGCCTATTTGTACTTTCTCTA